CTTTTATACTCAAATTGTTGCACATTTAGCAAGTGATTTTAATAAGTAGAATGACAGGTTGCAACAAAATGTAGAGAAAATGGTCACCAAATATTTATGAAAAAATCAGGAAAATTTAATGAACCCTGTAGAATCATTATTGTACGTAGTTGACGATCATTATTAGCTTGCTCGCATTAATACATGGAACACCTGTTTCTACAATTGTCCCTTCCTCTGAAGTGCATTGTACACACAGTCTTTTGAATAACAATTAATTATTAGTACTGTCTGCTGCTTCACTTTCTAATTTAACTGATGTACAGATAAGTTTTCCATATTACATACTGTAGATACTGTATTGTCCAGCATGATAGACAAGGCAGCTAAAGCTACATGTAATATATCTTAAATTGAATTTAACCTAGGTATTATAATCTCTATTTTAAAAACAAAACTAAGAAATTAGGGCTGACAGAAGACCAGTCACCAACACTGAAAGGAAAAAAGCACTAGTATAAAGTTATGATATGTTTAGAACTGAAGAATAATATTTATGAACACTTTAAAATATCCACCAGAAAGTGTGACAGTTTAATTGCCAGAATTTGACTGGGATATCATTTATGTTAGATAACTGCAGGTAATGAACCAGCCCATCATCCTAAGGTTTCAAAAAGTCAAGAAAATGGTTAAGTTAATGTTAAGTCTGTTAAATATCCTCTCCTAACTTAAGAGACTAAATCAGAGGACTCAAAACAAAAAATGGGAGGTTATCTTGAGATGATTTCGGGCTTAGCGTCCCCGTGGCTCGGTCCTCGACCAGGCCTCCTTTTTTGTTACACACCCTCAGGAAGCAGCCCATAGCAGTTGTCTAACTCCCAGGTACTTATTTACTGCTAGATAACAGGAACATTAGGGTGAAAGAAACTCTGCCCATTTGTTTCTGCCTCCACTGGGGGATCAAACCCAGAATCTCAGGACTATGAATCTGATTCACTGTCCACTCAGCTGTCAGGCCCCTTGGGGACAGTATGACACTTTCGAGTGCTGCTTCCATTTTTTAGTGCTGTACAATGATTTTTGGCCTTAGTAACGCATACAAGCAAAAAGCGACGTTCTTTGTAAGAGGACAGGTAGGTTGAACCTCCCAACAGTGAGCACTCCAATTGTAAACTCTGTGAACAAGAGCTCAAACATGCACTCAATGCTATATTAATGAATGCCACGGTATCAATAATTTTACTCCAAATGGCATGAGAGATGTAGAGCCCTGTACTTATTTAACTTACTCGCTGATATTAGAAGATATTCTAAAGTTTGTAAAATAGTATGGTCAACCATTCTGTGAGATGTGGTATACAGTATTAGTTAATCTTACAGCTAGCTCTTATTCATTGTGTTGGGGGACAGGCACCTAGTTTATGTATACGTGTTAAGCTTATATCGAGGGCACCCCCTTCCCAAAGGTCAAATTACTGACCCTCCCCAGGATGTAACCTCACAACAAGCTGACTAACTCCTGGGTACCTATTTACAATACTGCTAGGTGAACGGGAGCATTTGGCAATAGGAAATGTGGCCACCCATTTCTGTCTCGCCCGGGATTCTCGATTGCGAGTCAAGAACGAACTCGACTGAAATAGAGGGAATACAGAGAACATATACGGCACGCATAGACGAGATAAAGCGCCTAAATTATTGGAATCATCTCAAAGCTCTTGGAATGTACTCACTAGAAAGGAGACAAGAGAGATACCAAATAATATACACATGGAAAATACTAGAGGGACAGGTCCCAAATCTGCACAGTAAAATAACAACGTAATGGAGTGAACGACATGGAAGAAAATGCAGAATAGAACCAGTGAAGAGCAGAGGTGCCATGGGCACAATCAGAGAATACTGTATGAACATCAGAGGTCCATGGTTGTTCAACGTCCTACCAGCGAGCATCAGAAATATTGCAGGAACAACCGTGGACATCTTCAAGAGGAAACTATATTGTTTTCTTCAAGGAGTGCCGGACCAACTGGGCTGTGATGGGTATGTGGGCCTGAGGGCCGCTCCAAGCAACAGCCTGGTGGACCAAACTCTCACAAGTCAAGTCTGCCCTCGGGCCGGGCTTGAGGAATAGAAGAACTCCCAGAACCCCATCAACCAGGTATCAACCAGGACTGTAATACTGGTACCATCTTGATCCATACTACATAATTCCTCATATTGATGAAGGTTGCAGCAGTGCTGTGTACTTAAGTTTGCCTAATGACCAAATAAATAACAAAAATTCCAGACCCACACCTCTGAAAAATTTGGATTTCATTCCTTAATACTTAGTGCCTGACTGGCATATAGTATTTTTAGATATGTACCCAATTTCAAAACTACATATCAAAGTAACTCACTCACACAAGAAGTATGACAAATAGTTCAATATGAATTAAGAGGGGACCAGGTTCAGCCATCATTAATTGTACTGACAACTACACTTTTCTGGGGAAGGGCTTTGTGGCTCCATGAAGTTACGATGCTGATTTAGTGCCAAGCTATTAGATGCCATCAGTCACCGAGATCTTTTAGATCTACTGTACCAGGGATCATGAGCCAGAAACTGGCCCCCCCTCTAATGAGGTGCAGAGAACAGTGGCACTATGATAACATGGTCAGTGAATTTGAATTGTGTCCTCCCTGAGGTGCCGCCCACAATGTCAACGAAACAAAATGGATCACTGCTGGTTATAAAAATGATAGATATATAGTATAGTCATAAAATACTTTCATTTTAAGAACGTGATTAATTGAATGACATTATAGCTTACAATTTTGAGTAGCGACATAGGTTGACAAACCTTAACATAAAATTTCAACAATTAGATTTATATACTGGTTGATTAAAATTGCATGATTTTGTAGTTACATTGTTTACATAACCAGATACTGCAATTATAGAGAGAGTATGTAGCCACTCAAATATGTAGGGGCCAGTGTTCAAAATTTACTCATTAACAAGCAATTCCTAATTCTTAACTATGCATTATTCAGAAATAATGGTAACAAGCTTGTATTTTAAATTAGAGATACAATAAAATTATTTATGATTGTATCAGTTAATTTTATGTAGATTCCATAACATTTGGGCTAAGTAAATGCTAAAAAAAAGTTAGTCAATATATACTTTCAGTAAAGCAATCCTCGTGGTGAAGTGGTAACACACACGCCTAGTATTTCACGAGCGCTTTGGTCTGTGTTCATATACTGGCTGGGGAAGATTTACTGGGCGCCAATCCTTAACTGAAGCCCCTGTTCATCCAGTAGTGAATGGGTACCTGGTTATTAAATGATTTGGCGGGTCATATTCCGGGAAAAATTAGGATTAAGGATTTGCTCGAAATGCTATGCGTGCTAGTGGCAGTACAAGAATGCAAGAACTCTTGTATATGGGGGGGGGGGGGAATCATAATTTATGTTAAAGATCTTGATGTTTGAGTAAATAGGGATATCAGTTAATCTGCAGATGAGACAGATAAGACAAATGGTAAATTCAAAAAGGAGATTTTACTCTACTGCAGAGATTGATTTTATTTGTAACTGATACAAATCATTACAGTTTCTCAAAGTACAGTAGTGTGGTTTTTAAGAGACATTGGAATACCAAGGTCTAACTCAATTTCAGATATATGCAACTTTAGCTGCCTTGTCTGTATCATGCCGTTGGATAATGCAGAATTGTACCTATGTGAAATGGTATTTATACTATAAAGATTCTGAAAAACTTAATCTGCATCAGTTAAATTAGCAAGTAAGGTAATGAACACAAGTTAGCAAATAACTATTGGCATCCATATACCATCATCTGGTATATGATTCTTTGGCACTCATTTATATCTTGACACTATTTTTTTAACATTGCAGCATGCATGAAGGGTTGATTTGCTAGCAAACAGTGTCTAGGCACCAATATATTGGGATACTGTATATTCCTTTGCCACGTGCTTTATGAACACTTTTTTTCTGAAAATGCCTGGTACTATATCTGATTTGGGTTTGTTTAGATAAAAAAAAAATTTGGATAACTGGTGTTGCAGGCAATCTGAATAAAAATGTGCAATAAAGATGGAACTTTGCCCAGGATAATGCAGAATTAGAGGCAGTAAAAGCAGTAAAATAGGTACCTGGGTGTTAGTCAGCTGTCACGGGCTGCTTCCTGGGGGTGGAGGCCTGGTCGAGGACCGGGCCGCGGGGACACTAAACCCTCGAAATCATCTCCAAGTAACCAAGATAGGACCATACACAGTGCCACTTGAGCAGTGTTCATACACAAATGGATGGCTCAGATGCTTTAAACTCTGCCATGGCATTAGGTACAGTACATAGTAAAAGGCAGTGTGCCGAGGTTACCTCATCACCATTAATCTTTACTTCAGTTATCTCGACACTATCATCATCCACCACCACCTCTTCTATGTAAATAGCAATGCTTCATGAACTATATCAAGTTAACAAGCAGATCAGAACCTCTTGTATTGGTAAGTACAAATAAAATAGTCTAATTTCTGAAACAACATTGTCAATGTCTTTCCCTTAGCTTTTCATGATGATGAACCACTTATCCAAATGCAACAAGTTTTCCGTTCAGTCTCAGTCCTGAGGGGTTCGGAATACATGTGGCCGACTTCTCTCTCCACCTATTTTTGTCATATTTCATTACAAAATTCAGCACCAGCATTATTTCTAGAAAAGTGATATTAATTTTATATTTATGTAACTGAAAGGATTTGGGTAGATTTGGGTAATTCTACAGATGGCTGTTAGCTACCTTCCCTACCACAAGCTAGTGTTATCCAGCTAGCTACAATTCCCCACCTCCCTCTCCAGTTTTAGTACGTTCTTGAGTTAGCTACACCCACCAATGGTAATTTGGTCCCCTGCTAGCACTCTCCAGTGTAAATGTTGTCTCAGCTAGCTCACCCTGGTGCTCAGTAATAACCCTGGGTATAATCATGTCTCCACCTTCCATGCAGCGCGACCGCCGAGTAAGTAGCCCCGACGTCCGACACATCAAGGTGCTTATAACATGCCCTGCCTTGCCTATGCCTCTCTCTCTCTCTCTCCCTGCCTTGTATATGCTTGTTTCCCTGCCTTGCCCATACCTCTCCCTGCCTTGCCCATGCCTCTCCCTGTACTTGTTTGCCTCGGTCTGTCTTCTTGACCACATCTAATCCCATCCACACTCACCTTATTTGAATCTCCCTTCATTCCTACCTCCCTATCCTCCACGTACACTACATCCAATCCATGCTCCTGTTAAGACAGCATATTAACTACAATGTGTTATATGTAAAAATATGAAGTTTAGCTCATCAAAATGGATATAATTTGCCCTTTTTGAGAAATAACATTATATTCATATGTGACAACAAAAACTTTACCTAGGTAAATATAGTATGACTATGTTAGCCCTAGGTTAAGTTTGACTTTTGTTGCTCAGTTTTTTCACTAATGTGCATTTATGTTTTTGTAATAGAGCAAGTTGTGAACTGTTTGATACGAAAAGATCCCTATTTTGTATATACAGTTCTTTATAGTATACAGTACACAAATTGTCATTAATGTACTGTCATAACAGGAGAGGGTGGATAGCAACCCGATACATCCTCCCCACACCTGTCCCTGCCCACACCTTTTCTTTTCAGCACTTCTCCCTTCCCATATCTCCTAGAGTCCCCTATATTCATACCCAGCACATTTGATCATTGTATCTTCAGCCTGAAGACTGTAAATTGAAATGGCTTGTATCTGGATACTGTGCATGGTTAGTTGTTTTGGAAATAATTTCCATTAAACAGTGTACTCTAGTTTTAAACAAAGCTCCGTTATAAACGACTGCTGGATGGCACTGGCAAGAACTCTGATGACAGGTGTGGGCAGGCAAAGGCTCTGTTTGTTACTTGCAGCATTAAATGTAATTAGTTTCCACTAATGCCAGCTTTCTCTGAACATAATTTACTATTATGCCTATGTATGTAGAGGAACACCAAGATGAGAGAAGACTATTTGTAGATAAAGTTTTGCATGCACAGGCCTTATAAGCTCTAACAGTGGTGGTGAGGTAGATATATCTAGCATTTTCTTTTTTCATGAGCAATAGCTTTGTGTCTGTTGGATTTGATGTAGTTGATACAGACAAAATGTCATCTATAAATCAAACCTTTTCACATCATGTATTTCTCTGCATTGTTTTTAGCAGTATCTTTTTGACCATTGTTTTTATTTTACTATTGTGATGGTTTGACATGACTGAGAACCAAAAGGAGCACCTCACTTATTTCAGTGTTCATCTTATAACTTCAGAAATCAATCTTCCTGTGGATATGTACACTGCTACCCATGTATCATATGTAGCAGTGTACATATGTATCACATATGTACACTGCTACCCAGTCTATTTTGGCAGACTTATCTGAAGGTGTTCTCTGTACTGTACTAACTGTACTGGAATCTTGTGTAGCATTATAACTTCCTATTTTATAGCTTTGTGGATCAGTATGTGGGAATACAATGTGGGGTGGATAAGTATACAGTACAAGGGATGTATTGGTGCAGATCAGTATATGAATAAGACATGTGATGTGGATCAGTATAAAGTACAAGTAAGGTGTATCAGTACAGTATGACGTGATGTGGATTGGTATGACAATGTGGATCCATGTAAAAGTAATGACATGATGTGGATTGGTATATTTGTAAGATGTGATGTGGATTGGTATACAATTAAGGTATGATATGGCGAGGGTTAGTAAACAAGTAAGGTATGACATAATACAGATTTGTATACAAGGTAGGTATGACATTTTGTGCACCCGTATACAAGTATGGTATGGCTTGGGAGAGAGCAGCATAAGAGTGAAGTGTGATATGATGTGCATCAGCATATTATTAAGGTATGACATGATGTGGAGCAGTAAGGAATATTGTGACCTTCATTGGTGTGTAAGAAAAGCATGAAGTGATGTGGGTTGGTGTAACCAGAGCAGTTCACATGAGAACAATAGAGTAGCAGAACACTGTGGAACATCCGAGTGTGGTGTCTATCAGTCTACAGGCAGATACTGAAAGCTCACACCTCAGTCAGATACCAACCAAGGGCCAGGTCAGCTCGAACGGGCGGCTAGTTGTCTAAGTTTCTTATCTTCCCTAGTATCCTAACATCATCAGCAAATATGTTAATATAATTCTGTATTCCATCTGATTGTTTATGTAGACAATGAACATTACTGGTGCAAGAACTGAACCCTGGGGTACTCCATTCGTGACATTTTTCCAGTCCGATACATTGCCTCTGATTACTGCCCTCATTTTTGTCAGTGTGTACTCGCCTATTTGTGCTTGAAGGATCGAGCATCAACTCTTGGATCCCGCCTTTCCAGCCATCGGTTGTTTACAGCAATGACTCCTGTCCCATTTCCCTATCATACCTAATTTTAAAAGTATGAATAGAGTTTGCTTCCACAACCTGTTCCCCAAGTGCATTCCATTTTTCCACTATCACACTAAAAGAAAACTTCCAAACATCTCTGTGACTCATCTGAATTTCCAGTTTCCTCCCATGTCCCCTCCTTCTGTTATTATTACGTGTGAACATTTCATCTATTTCCACTTTGTCAATTCCCTTGAGTATTTTATATGTCCCTATCATATCTCCTCTCTCCCTTCTTTTCTCTAGTGCCGTAAGGTTCAGTTCCTTCAGACGCTCTTCATATCCCATCCCTCGTAATTCTGGGACAAGCCTCGTCGCAAACCTCTGAACCTTCTCGAGTTTCCTTGTGTGTTTCTTTGGGTGGGGGCTCCATGATGGCGCAGCATACTCTAAGACGGGTCTCACGTAGGCAGTGTAAAGCGCCCTAAAAGCCACTTAGATTTCTGAATGAAGTTCTAATTTTCGCCAGTGTAGAGTACGCTGCTGTCATTATCCTATTTATATGTGCCTCAGGAGTTAGATTAGGTATTACGTCCACACCCAGGTCTCTTTCTCGAATCGTTACAGGTAGGCAGTTCCCCTTCATTGGGATCCCATTTCTATAACTTTACATTTACTCGTGTTGAACTCCAGTAGCCATTTCTCTGACCATCTCTGCAACCTGTTTAAGTCCTCTTGGAGGATCCTACAATCCTCATCTGTCACAACTCTTCTCATTAATTTTGCGTCATCCGCAAACATTGACATGTAGGATTCCACGCCTGTAAACATATCATTTACGTAAATTAGAAAGAGGATTGGTCCCAGCACCGATCCTTGAGGTACTCCACTTGTTACTGTTCGCCAGTCTACCTTCTCGCCCCTTACCATTACCCTGTGTGTGTGTAGAGTATATGAGAGGGATGCTAATAGAGAGTAGGGGAGGGTGACAGAGATGTCTGTATAGAGAAGTGAAGAGTGTATTGCAAAAGGAGGTGTCAGTATAGAGAAAGGGAACAGTGAAGTAGTGTCAGTATAGAGAAAGGGAACAGTGAAGGAATGTCAGTATAGAAAAAGGGAACAGTGAAGGAGTGTCAGTATAGAGAAAGGGAACAGTGAAGGAGCGTCAGTATAGAAAAAGGGAACAGTGAAGGAGTGTCAGTATAGAGAAAGGGAACAGTGAAGGAGTGTCAGTATAGAGAAAGGGAACAGTGAAGTAGTGTCAGTATAGAGAAAGGGAACAGTGAAGGAGCGTCAGTATAGAAAAAGGGAACAGTGAAGGAGTGTCAGTATAAAGAAAGGGAACAGTGAAGGAGCGTCAGTATAGAGAAAGGGAACAGTGAAGGAGTGTCAGTATAGAGAAAGGAAACAGTGAAGGAGTGTCAGTATAGAGAAAGTAGTGAGACAGTATGAGAATCAACATTCAAGTGTGTTGAGATGCGAGATATTGCAAAATAATTTGAATGTTGGAAAAATTAAAATTTTCAAATGGATAAAGAAATTGAATTCTCACCCAAACAATTCATCTTCCATGTATACTGCAATACTCATCAGCATTATACTGTACCAATGATCAGCCTCTCCAGAACACATTATTCACTAAAACTGTCAGTACTAACGTGCTTGGTTAAAACTTAAATTACACCTGTGATTTGGCGTTTCATTAGTTTTGATATGTTGTGTTTGAAATCATAGTGATGGCACAAGTTTCTTTGGATTAATATAGTTATTTATTGTGCAGTCTGATTGCCGTCTGGAAATCGTGACCCATGTTGGAGAAAACATAATTCTTCAGGCAACTCTGGAAGAGTACGAGGACAGCAGGGACAACATGTCAGCAGTGATGCTTCACAATGAAAAGGTAAGACAGACATTACATTCCTGAGTAGTAGTAGCGAAAGTAATGAATGGTGACCAAATTTATTCCTTAATAACATCTCCATAAAGATCTAAAATGATTTAGTTACAGGGATGTTTAACTGTTGAGATAAAGCATATCAAAACAAGAGCTCAAAAAGACATTTAAGTTGTTGAAAAATGTACATAACATAAACATAAGACTGAGAATTAAGAAAATTGCAGAAGCCTATTGGCTCATACAAGGTCCACCTATTTATAATCAACCAAACTCCTATACTGTGTTACTGCCATGCTTGACTCAATCCAGTACTCCCACATCTATTGTTATCCAGTAATCTGGGCCATAAAACAACAACCCTTTTATTTCCAAACCAGTATTTATCCAGGTCTTTTCTGAATTTAAACTTATCTAATTTGTACCCATTGCTTAGTTATACAGTATTTAGCACTACTGTTTTAAAGATATCAAATACTAACCATACAAGTAGCCACAAAGTCCAAGCTTACCAAGCTACATTTGCTCTCAGTGATGACCTACAAGAAATAATGTCGGTAAACAAAATTGCAGAGCTTTCAAATGCTGATAAAACAAAATGAGGGGAGGACTTTAATGGCTGCAGACTCATGTCAGTCATGACCACTAGGCATGGTGGCCAAATATTCAATTTAAATATACTTCAATAAATGCTGCGATCAACATAGCTAAATACCAAAGTTTACTAATAAAAGTACCTTTAATAATGTACCAAGGTTTACTAGGCAGACCATTACTTTAAGATTGGCAAGATTCTAGTGCAAAGAGGTGGTGATGGTTGCTGTTGCCTGAATAGAACACTGTTTAGAAAATCTCTCAAACCATGCCTCAAACATCAGCTTGTTTGCCAACCAACTTAAAGCACCTAAAATGAAAAAATGTGCCAAATACTGTTATACCAGGGAGAATCTCAGGAAGCAGTTTAAGTGAACAGTTACACGTAGATGACCTATTGCAAATGTGTGACAGTTGGCTTAAACCAGCAAATAATAGAACCAACTAGGAAAGAAAACATCTTAGATCTAATTTTTGCAAACAATGATGAACTGATTAGGGACATAATGATCACAAATACATGTTACTCAGATCAAAACTTAATTGAAGTTCAAACATGCATGGGTAATAGACTTGTGCAGCCAGTCTCAATTCCAAGAGATGGAAAATTCTGCAAATGAAATTTTAATTAGATAGATTAACTGGGAACAAATGAACAAAGCCCTCAGAAATATTTACCTGAGGGCCACTATCACTAGTGGCCTCGACGAGGACAGGAAGCTGGTGGCTTCCCATTTTCCTTGATCCCCCCCCATTTGCCTTGATGATCTTTTCCAGTTGGACTTAAATTTTTAAAGTGTTTTGGCACTTACGGCTTCGGCGGATAGGTGGTTCCATGGGTTTATAACCATTTGGGTTATACATGCTCGGAAAGACAGCCAGATAATACAAACTTAAACCATTGCCTTGAGAGAATAGGTACAGTAGCGTTAGAAATATGTGCAAGTCACATACCACAAAGGAGAAAGAGAAAAAGATGCAAAACTGGAATGACAACGGCGTTCCCTCTATAGGCGACAAAAACAAATTGCAGAACATCTTAAATGCTCAACTCTATCCCAAGAACGACATATAAGGCTATGTAGAGGAATAGAAATGATTGAGCTAAGGTTGCAAGAATCGGAGAAAACCCAGAAGAAACAGAGCAAAATATCATAAGTGAAATAGAGAGGAATCTAAAATATTTTTTCTCCTATGCAAAGTCTAGAACAAAAACTACATCCTGCATTGAAACCTTCACAGATGCTAGCAAAGAAATAAGTGAAATACCGTACTGAGGTTTTAGTACAATTCTGTTTTCAGTGAACCCCTGCACACATTGCAGATCAGTGATCCAAACAAATTCTTTATGAATGTGACACCACCACCGAGCCATATATCAGATGTTATCTTAACTCCACTCGACTTTGAAGTGGCCATAGACAGAATGCCCATTCACTCTGCACCTGGCCCAGACTCCAGGAATTCTATATACATCAAGAATTACAAAAAAACCAGCATTGAATGTAATGAAATGCCATTTTCTGGGTTAGCCCCGGAGGCTCCCTGGAGAAGTCAGACTGATATGTAATATATTAGTCCGGGACATCAGTCAATTGGAGTTCAAACCTGCCAGGGACCACGAGCCAGAACCTGGCCCCCTCAGAGAGGCACTGGGAGCAGTGGCCTATGGAAACCATTCCCCCCATATAGCTGGGGGCATTCCATGTCTGCCAGCGACTGGGATTAGGCACCCAGAAAGGTAGGCGTAACAAAATAAACCCCACTTAGAAAGAAAATTGCAACCGAAGACCGAACAGAGAAGCAGAACTCTCCCAACACCCAAGGAAACAAGCAAACGTCATACACCGTCACTTGTCCGCGCAGCCCTCCCCTCTCTGGGAGGGGAAGGGGGCACCCCGGACCCCCTGCACCGGCTACTCACACCCTCAGTTCAGGGGCTGAGCATGTTTCCGAACACAGCAGCAAACTTGCAAACGTCATGGGCACGAGGATAGACCACAAGCTGGCTATAATGATCCAAGCATTAATGTCCCAAGGGCCCCTCTGGAAAGCTGCCATCTTGTTCTTCACTAGAAAAGGTGGTGATGGTTGCAACCAAACAAACTGACCGCCAGAACTCAAGGAGCAGAAACCCCTGCACCAGAAGAGAGCATGAAACTCGCCAACTCGGCCCCCCCCCTAGAGGTCAATGCCAACAGAGCCTTGGAAAAACAATCTTGAACTGAAGGGGGGGCCCCACCACAAACCAAGGAGAAAAGAGAGCACCCTGTCCAAGGACCAGGACAACTCAGGTGGTGCTTAAGCAGGCTGGAGGTGAAACAAAGCACGAGAGCTTACAGAATGGGGTGGAAGTAACATCCACCCCAAACGCAAGCTGAAGGGGCTCCGCCAGCACAGCACAATACAAGGCAACAACATTTGGTACAAATGATGGTCCTAAAAAAGCCAAGAAAGGAAGGACAAAACAATCCAATCAGAGATAGAAGACAACCTACGAAGAGACAGAAAATGGTGAAAAGATCGCCAGGAAACCTCATACTGTCGCAGAGACGAAGCTCGAAGGTGTGACCTCATCAAAGAAGCCACCTGATCATCATGCAAGTGGTGATACACCCGCATCAAAAAGACAAGATGTGAAGAGCAGAGGGGTAGAACAAACCAGCCATGTACCGGACCGGTCCGATCTGCTGAAAGAGGCGGAGCCATGGAAAACACCCCGAGTTCAGACATTGAGCAAGCAGCATCTGAAACCAAGGCTGGGCCAGCCACCAAGGAGCCACCAGGACTACTCTTCCCCCTGGCAAGTCTCGTAACCAAGCCTTTAGAAACTTGTGTAAGTAATCATTCAGAACCTTGTATACCACTTATGTCAGACCAATCCTGGAGTATGCAGCTCCAGCCTGGCGTCCATACCTAATTAAACACAAGACAAAGTTAGAGACGATTCAAAGGTATGCCACTGGACTAGTCCCAGAACCGAGAGGTATGAGCTATGAGGAAAGGCTACAGGAGCTAACCCTCATGTCCCTGGAAGACAGAAGAGTAAGGGAAGACATGATCACCACCTACAAATTTTTCAGAGGAATTGACAGGGTGGACAAAGACAAACTATTTAGCATGGGTGAAACACAAACAAGGGGGGGACACAGGTGGGAACTTCTTAGTACCCAAATGAGCCACACACACATTAAAAAGAATTTGTTCAGTGTCAGTAGTTAACAAATGGAATGCATTAGACAGTGATGTGGTGGAACCGAACTCCATACACAGTTTCAAATGTAAATTTGATAAGAGCCCAATAGGCCTAAGAATTTGTACACCAGTTGGTTGACAGTTGAGAGGTGGGAACCAAAGAACCAAAACTCAACCCCCGTTAGCACAACTAAGCGAGTACTATATAGCATTTGGAAGGGGTCAGGATAAGGAATGGTGTCCAACCACTTGGACAGTCAGGGATTGAATGCCAACCTGCATGAAGCAAGACAGTTGCTCTACTGTCTACCCTAAGTGGCAGGAGAGGTACATAATAATCTACAGTTGGAAAATATTAGGACTGGTCCCAAATCTGCACACAGAAAGTACACCCCATGAGAACAGAAGGCATGGCAGGATGTGCAAGATAGCCCCACTGAAGAGCAGAGGTGCAATAGACATGCTGAGAGAGAACTCGATCAACATCAAAGGCCCGAGACTTTTCAACACACTTCCCCTACACATGCAGGGCATAACTGGCCAACCTCTCAGTGTTCAAAAAAGACTAGGCAAGCACCTTCAAAGGGTACCTGACTAACCAGGCTGTGACTTGCAAGTCGGGCTGCAAGCAACCCCATCAAACACCTTGGTGGATCAGACCAGCAACCAGAAGACCTGGTCAAAGACTGGGCCATGGGAACATTGATCCCTGGAATCTTCAACAGGTAGCTAATAAAGATGTGTGTGCTGAGTAATCTGAAAACTAAGTTTATATAATGAGTAAATCATTAATCATGAGTAAATGTTCAGTATGGAATATGGTAAATCTTGGGATTGGTTATACACTACAATAAATTATATAGGCAGAGAAAATGCAGAAATTTAAAAGTCCAAGAAGCAAATATGAACCACTTTCATTAATGCTTATACCATAGTAGAGCGAAGTAATCATGTGTATGTGTAAGTACGGTATAGTGACTAGTTATAAGTACCATGAAATTTTTTTTCAGGAGGCGTGTGAGGATGTGGTGCGTGATGTGGGACAAAAGATCAACAACCACGCCAAGGAGGTCCGAGAGGACATGGCACTGTCAGTGCTCATTCTAGCAGAGGTTCAGGTGCATGTACCACCGCTGCCTGCCTCTGCCACCATGGTTCAGTTCTGCCCACTCCTCCTCCTCTTGCCCCTTGCTGCCCTTGCTTCACATCAACATGTACTGCTCGCCTCATGATACATGTGGCTGCCTATGCCTGCAGTTAATTAGAGTTGCCTAGGTAGAGTTTTGTTACTGAGTTGCGCATGCGTGACATGCATGCTGAGCCCAGTTGCCCCGGGAGTGGGCGGTACACGTGGTTCACGTGGCCAGTAGCTTCCATGGATCCCATCACCCTTTGTACCATTTTTGTACTGCACTGTGACGCCTGAAGAGGCTACGCTATGCGTGGCTGCTCCTGTGTCTCCCGCCACATCCCCTGGCAGGCCGGTAGCTGGCTGACCACGGGCACAGGGGCTCTTGTCCTGCTGGACACTACCACAATTTTTTTTTTTTTTGTTAATAACCTAGTTTATTTGTAAACTCTGTATGATGGTATTTTTTGGAAGCATAATTTTAATGAAGTGTTTAAGGAGAAAAGTGTTGGTAGAGGGAGCGATGGATGCGAGAGGAGTGCTGGTGGCCTGCTCACTGCCTTACTGTACCATTCCCAGAGCCCCGGAGAGCCTGAGGAACTCCCTTCCTCTGCTGCCCTCAACAGGTTCTTGTCCGTGGTGGGTCGTTGGTGTTGTTAATGATTATTCTCCCCACTTGTCTTACACCGCCAGTCACCACCTTGCAGGGAAACCACACAACTCTTTCTGCTGCATTCACACCAAGGAACAATATCATGGCTGCCTTATGGAAAGCTTTGAAGTTAATTTAGTTGAGGAAAAAGAGATTTCAGATTTTCATTTTGTGCAATTTTTTACCGATTCTAAATTACACGTTCGAGAAAATCTAGAGCTCAAAGGTTGTGTATCTTCCTCTGAAGTTGGTCATTACCGTCCAGTTTTACAGACTGGGAGCTGTTGAGTCTGAACTAATCCTCTTACTGATACTTACTTCCCACACTCAAGGAAGAAAGCAGCATAATTTATAATTTTATGTCTATATATTAGATGTAAATATGATTGAAACTTGTCAAGCTACCTACCACAGATGAGGGATGAGAGTAGTAACCAAGATCATTATAAAGAGTGTATTCCTGCCATTGCATAACATGCCCACTAAAGCCACAGGCTTCCATCCTGTGATTTCCAAATTATACAGACTCTGCTAACCAAGCTCTTGTTCTGTTGGTTAGCTCACCCTCAAATCAGTTACTGGCAGAGAAGGTATGCTGAGGCAAGGCAGTGTGCATCACTTGTCCATTTCATTAAGACTTGTAATTTGGTCAATAACTGCTCATGTGACTGCACAAAGAGCCTTAACTATACTAGGAGGACCTCGGTAAACCTAACAGACTTCCTGCCTTGACAGTAGTATAACATACCATAAAGGAGGTTAGGTGATGGCAGGGATGAATTTATGCCATTGATGGTTTACAGTGTAAACCCCAATGATTAAAGACCAACAGCTCTGCCACTCTGATGCCTTATTGTGCATCATATCAGGTTTTGTGTTAGCTCTTGTTTGCATAGTTGGAAATGAGAGCATTGTGAATGGATTTTGAAGTTGTTGCTTATGTATTCATTGATGTAATACAGTATGTTAATGATTTAGTATGCTAACTTTTTCTCATAACCCACACCCACTGAAGATAACCTCTTACACACAGCATTATATGACAAAGAGTATTGGGAAGAGGGGACACCACAAGTGTAGCTCCCATCCTGTAGCTACACACACAAAAATAGACAGCACTCGGTCATAGTCCTAAGGGCCCGGGGTCAATTCCCAGTTGAGGCATAAACAAATGGGCAGTTTCTTTCACCTGAATCACCCATTCACCTAGCAGTAAATAGGTACCTAGGAATTAGACAGCTGCTACAGGCTGCATCCTGGAGATGTCTGTGTCTGTGTGAGAAGTATATATATAGTAGATATGATAAAGGAAAATAGGTCAGGAATCAGTACATTAGACTACTAACTGTTAGTAAGGCAGGGTCCAAGAGCTAATGGCTCAATCCTGCAGGCACAAATAGTAAACATGTGCACACACATATATTCCATAGTCATATCAGGAGGAAAATGACTGTGAATGAGCAGGTTATCAGACTTGACAAAAATGAGGGAGGACACATGGAAAAACATAACTTTTGTGAGGCACTTAACAAAAACTTTCAGGAAGTATTCAAGCTGGAATCTGATTTGCCATAGAGCTTAGAGCCCAAACTGAATGGGGGAAATTCCACAGGAAAGCCTCGGTGAAATAAGTGACACCAGACATAGTAAAAAAGCAACTGCAGGAACTGGATGTGACAAAAGCTGTGGGACCAGACAAAATATGAACATGGATACTAAGAGACAGCTGAAGCATTGTGCAGCCCACTTGCCATATTTAATTCCTCTCTAGAAAGAGAAGAACTTCTTAACAGGAAAATGGCTAATATGATACCAATCATATTAGGTATCAGTTTGTCTTCAAGAAAGGGGGAAGACAAACTGTTGAACTACAGATCTGTATCACTAACAAGTATCCCCCTGTAAGTTGTTAGACTTGTCTGAAGCAGACTAGTAGAACATTTAGAACATATCAATTTTGTGTAGATGTCAAGGTGTCAAGCAATTAAAGGAAAATCTTGCTCGACAAACTTGCTGGAGTTCTACAACAAGATGACAGAAATCAAATGAGAAAGAGGGATGGGCAGCCTGCATATTCCTTGACTGCCAGAAGGCATTTGATATATGAATATAGAAGTCTGCATGAAACACTGCTAGTCAAACTAGAAAAGCAGGTTGGCATATCTGGAAGAGTCCCAAGGTAGGTCAGAGTACATCTCACGAAGGAAGCAATGGGTTACAGTGAGCAGAGACAAAGCGGAGTATCAGAAAGGTTGGTTCTAGGGCCCATTATGTTTTTAATGGGCCCTAGAACAGGTCATTCCTATCAATGACCTGACAGGAAATTGGATTCTTCATATCAATGTTTGCAGATGATGCAAAACTAATGAGAAGAGTCGGGTCAGGTTTAGTGTGTGATGCATTGCAAGAGAATTTGGACACTACAGAAGTGGTCTGAAAAATGGATGCTAGAATTTAACCCAGCCAAATATAAAGTTATGAGGATTGGAACAGGAGTGCGAAGACGAGCACAGCAGTATAGGATAAAAGGAAGACACAATCTTCAATGAGAAAAGGAGAAAGACCTGGGAGTGGACATAACCCCAAATCTGATGCCGAAAGTAGCAGAATAACAACTGCTGAATATGGCATACTTGACAACATCCATGTATCCTTCAGAAACTTGGGCTTTGCCCAAGTTTCTGGGCCCTAATTACAGCGAAGACGAGACCCACTCTTGAACATGCATCCCCCAGCATGGGGACCCTTATCTGAAAAAGGACAAGGAGAAAGTAGAAAAAAGACAGATATGCAACGAGACTTGTTCCAGTGTTGAGGGGATTGAGCTTTGAGGAAAGTATGAGATTTCGTCCTTACCACACTGGAGGAAAGGAAAGAAAAGGGGAAGAGGGGAAAACATGATGATAACATGCAAGAATCCGAGGGAAATTGACAAACTAGACAAAGCAGCATTGTTCAAAGTTAGGAATAGCAGAACGAGGGGTCATAGATGAAAACGAGACGCAAATGCATCATAGAAACATCGAGAAGAACTTTTTCAGTGTTAGAACTGTCGATAAATGGAGTAGAATAGATGCAGAAGTCGGTGAAGCAAATTCAAATCAAAATTTTAAATGTAAATACTGTATGATGAAATATGAGAGATGAGTCGTTGCAATACTCGGCGAACATTTGGAAGGCGGGGCTAGGAGCCTAGCTCAACCCTGCAAGCACATCTAGGTGAACACACACACACACACACACACACATATATATATATATATATATATATATATATATATACATATACATACACATACATACATGCATACATATATATATATATATATATCTCCCCCCTCCACCCTTCCCCCTGTGTCCTGTATATCTGGTGGACTGCAACACACCCTCAGCCCAAGACACTTGTCTTGAACACCTGCATCATTAAAAATACAACAAGATTTAAGGGTGAAAAGTTGTAATTATTTTTGTAACTTGTTTTAGTTGTCCTTAAAATGATATAGTTTGTATATAATTATAATGCGCCTAACTTTTACAATCCCAAAGGATTTGCTGAAGGACGTCTCGGTTTGAGATGTAAGGGTGTCCAGACTTGTGAATTTAAAATAATTAAGAAAACCACTTAATTATATAATGGTATTAAAAATCATGTTCCACAGACCTATGAGACCAATATCAAGCAAAAGTAGGTATTCAAAGTCTTGTCTCCACAACTTAGTACTGTGACTCAATCATTCCACAAGTAAAGAAACTACCAAAGAGACCTGACCTCATTAACTACTGTGCATAACTGTTGTCACCAGCAATGTCATAAGTTGTATTGCAGCATGGAATATATTGGAAGGTTTAAAACATAAATGTGGTAATTGGAGTAGAATGTTTGTTGCATTGTTGATAGTTAACATGTGATAACTGTTCAAATTGTGCATTATTCTCATGAGTAAATGGAGCACAACATAAAATAATACTTTCTGGCAATTTTTTTTTTTTTTTTTAAGCGTTGCTGATAAGTGGAAACCCCAATTTCAGATGGTTGTCTTCCTCTTTGTGTATTGATAAATCAGAGGAGGTCAAGCCAAGGAATAGTATCTTGTGTAGAGGGTGTGTCATCTTCAGTGTGAAGTGGGTATATTTGTTGTCAGTTCCTGTATCTGCAGGTATTAGTTTCTTATCACAGATCCCTGGCACGATACTAGCTGAGGGTCAGCTTATATTTGTTATATGCTGTTTCATTTATTTTGACTGACATCTTAGGAATGTACATCATCTTAGCGTCTAGGAAAATATTAAAGAAGTGCTTGTGCTGTGATAAACTTGACATGTGGTTTGTCTGTTAATGGATAAAACTATGAAACTCTTAATTTCTATAACATGAAGCCTCAAAACTTTTAAGTTAACCAATTGTGGGAACGTGTTACAGAAGCACATGACTCGCACACATAGTCTGTACAGTGTAAATAATATTAGGCGAGTAATAATAGAGATGTTTCCTAAGGATCACAAGCAATTGTATTAAGAAAATGAAGTGGGCTTTTTTGCCTTCTATGAAGAATATTCCTAAGTCAAGCAAGTTGTTGTTGAAGCAGCACAAAAATTTATTGATGATAACAGATTAGCGTTTTGTAAATAATATAAATATTGTTATGTACATGGTAATGTACACGTTCAGGTTGAATTGTTGTCTAAGATTTACCAAGCTGTGTACTTCTGCTCTCAAGGTCCGCAGTTTCACTCCATTAGCCCAACACTTTCACTTGATGGAATAAATATGTACCTCTCACACTGTTCATCTGACGTTTGCAAATGTTTGTCTTCATATTCAAGTGCAACATTATTCAGATGAATAGTTGCTGCCTGTTCCTAGTGCACAAGGCTAATTCCTGTCACTCCAGGATGCATGTCTATCACTGTCTACTCCCACATTCCTCTTTCTCTGCATTCTTTCATCTATCCTTCCTTTTCCTACCCCTCAATGACTTGCATCTCTTGTATATGTATATAATATATATATATATATATATATATATATATATATATATATATATATATATATATATATATATATATATATATATATATATATGTAGCTAGTAGCCAGAATGTCGTACTCGGCCTACTATGCAAGACCTGATTTGCCTAATAAGCCAAGTTTTCCTGAATTTTTCAATATTTTTTTAAGAAATGATAAAGCTATCCATTTCATTATGAGTTAATTTCTTTTAAATTTGAGTTGAAACTAACATAGATATATGACCAAACCTAACTAACCCTACCAACCTATCACTCAGCCTATTAGGCAAATCAGGCCTTGCATAGTAGGCCGAGAAGTGCGTTCTGGCTTCTAGGTAAGATATATATATATATATATATATATATATATATATATATATATATATATATATATATATATATATATATATATATATATATATATATATATATATATATATATATATATATATATATATATATATATATATATATATATATATGTATATACATATATATATATATATGTATATTTATATATATATATATATATATATATATATATATATATATATATATATATATATATATATATAATGTGTATACATATATAATATATATGTATTTTTATATATATTGTATACATATACAGTATATATAAAAAATTATCTTCTGGTGTAGCTAATCTTCAATATGTTTTCTTTGAAATACATCTACTGTATTTCTCTTGTAAAGAGGTCGGTCCTTCCAGATGCATATTTTGTTTAATAATGAGCTATATGATTCTTGTCTTAAGCTGGAAGGTTGCATGTTTGTTTCACATTTAATGTTAAAATACAATTGTGCTTAGAAGAGAAATAGCCACCTCTATCATTAATGTATTTGTTGTACATTCATATTTCATTGGTTATGTTGAAAACTTTAATCCTTTCTTCAGATAAGCTTTGTGTTGTTGTATGTTAATTGAAACCCATTTATTATCAGTATTTTTATTCCTTAACCATTGGTTGGGATTTTTTTCTCTAACTAATAAACCATAGATTATGGTTTAACTATATTTATTTAAATTGGTGCATTATTGCTGGTTGTTGGCACAACTCCACATGATCTGGTCTTTGTATGCTAAGTAGAAAAGAATATGTTTAGCTTTACTGAGTCATGCACTGGAGATGACCTTGCTATGCTCATGTGGAAGAGAGAATTAGCCTCTACTCGTGTGTGCAACAAGTGATCAGATAATGTGGAGTTGGATTTGCCCAGGAGCGGCACAAGTGCACCTTGCCGACAGCTGAGGAAGCACCAGGGAGGATCACCACTATAACCACCTGCTAAATAACCATCAATGTCCAGGGATTTAGCACAGATGGATCTTCTATATAGATAGTGTAGTAGGTTATCAGTCACACTTGCAATGTGTATACAGGAACTTCAATGTTAGGGATAAAGTGGGTTAAATAGAACGGCATCTCGTGTCTTCGAGACCTCAAGCTTTTCACCACGCGCTTGTGTTGTGTAGTTGCAAGTAAAAAATATCTATTCATGGGACTAGTTTGTTGTCAAGTATTTTTAGTGCGTATTCAGTGTATTCAATGTCTGCTAATACTTAGTCAGTGGATGATTTGTTTGACCTAAAGGTTGTCACTCGGGTTCACAGGTGGTGGTGTTTGTGTGAGGTGATTTAACAATACCACTTTGAAACTTATGCCAAAGTTTGTACTACTTATTCGTTGTTGCTCAGAATGTGGAAAAAATGATTGTGGTATATACACCTCAAACTAAGTATTTTTTTTTTTTAAGCTATGTAATTTACTTTTACAAATTTTCATAAAATTCATAATTTACAAGTAGAATATTTTGAAGACTGGTCAAAAATTTGGAGAATTAATGACTATCAAAGAATCTAAATTTGTGCCACAAGCAGAAGTCAATAATTAGTACCTCGATATTGTAATGTACTGGATTTTGTCTAGTATTTCTTTCATAAATTGAGAAATTAAAAGTACTGTATCATGAATAATAGTTTCTCCCCTACAGCTTCTCTCAGTTGCCGTGCATTCCTCCTTGTCCTTCCTAAGTGAACTTCCCATTTTTCCAGCCAAACTGATTTTCTCGCAGAGCATTGTGAACTGTGTTGTAAAATGTCCCATTGATGGCATGTTAAAATTTTAAAAGAAGTAAATCCTATCGTTTTGCTACTGTAGTTTCATTTATCCTGCTTTAGTATGAGAGTTTAACACTTATCCACCCTGTCCAAATTACATACCATGGAAAAAAATAAACCATCCATTCTAGTGCTACATGTCAACATTACTGTACATAAATTACATGGTACATGACAGCAAGTGAACTGATTGTGTGTGTACCTCTACAGATAACAATGGGTGAGACCTAACTAGGTAACTCTAAAGTGCTACTGGAGTGCCAGTGAAAGCAGTGGAGTGTGTGAAAGATTTTTTTTTTCTTTGTTGTTGGGGGAGAAAGATCCATTACATAGGCACTGGAACTTTTCCAGGGACCCTGAAACAGTTGGATGTAGTCCGGAACAGTGCCGAGTCTGGTTCTCTACAACACATTCAGGCTTTATAGACCAATTTGAATGTGCTTTCCTACCTATTCAAATAGGTACCTTTCTACCTTTTCAGATAGGTATCTTTCTACATTTTCAGACAGATACTTTTCTACCTATTCCTATGAAAACTAGTTACTGTCTTCTACATGTGCCTTTTCTACTTATTCAAATACACTATTCTGATAGGTATATTTTTACCTGTTTAAGTAGGTCCTTTTCAACTTATGAGAAGTTACTTTTTCTACCTATTCAAATATGTACTTTTCTACATATCTTTATGAAAACTAGATACTGTCTCCTTTTTACATGTACCTATTTTACCAAATAGGTAAGATTTTATGATTTTGTATATTTTACCAAATAGGTACATGTAAAAAGGAGACAGTACCTAGTTTTCATAAAGATATGTAGAAAAGTACATATTTGAATAGGTAGAAAAAGTAACTACTCATAAGTTGAAAAGGACCTACTTAAACGGGTAAAAATAAACCTATCAAATAGTGTACTTCTAAATGGGTACTTCTGCGTATTCAAATAGGTATTTCTACCTATTCAAATAGGTACTTTTCTATACGAAAATTAGTCTTCCACATTTGTTGGACTTCATTATTGCAGATTTGAACATTCTACATATTTGGATAGGTACTACCTATTCAAATAGGTACTACCTATTCAAATAGGTATTTTATACCTATTCAAATAGGTACTTTTCTTTCCTTATGAAATTACTGTTTTCCACATTTGTTGGACTGGATTATTGCAAATTTTAACATGCGACCTATTTGGATAGGTACTTTATACCTATTCAAATAGGTACTTTATACCTATTCAAATAGGTACTTTATACCTATTCAAATAGGTACTTTATACCTATTCAAATAGGTACTTTTCTTTCCTTATGAAATTAGTTTTCCACATTTGTTGGACTTGATTATTGCAAATCTGAACATATTCTATAAATTTGGATAAATACTACCTATTCAAATAGGTACTACCTATTTGGATAGGTACTACCTATTCAAATAGGTAATACCTATTCAAATAGGTACTTTTCTTTCCTGATGAAATTACCATTTTCCACATTTGTTGGACTGGATTATTGCAAATCTGAACATATTTTATCAATTCAAATGGATCAAAAGGTACTACCTATTCAAATAGGTACTACCTATTCAAATAGGTACTACCTATTCAAATAGGTACTACCTATTCAAATAGGTTTTATACCTATTCAAATAGGTACTTTTCTTTCCTTATGAAATTACTGTTTTCCACATTTGTTGGACTTGATTATTGCAAATCTGAACATATTTTATCAATTTGGATAAATACTACCTATTCAAATAGGTACTACCTATTCAAATAGGTACTACCTATTCAAATAGGTATTTTATACCTATTCAAATAGGTACTTTTCTTTCCTTATGAAATTACTGTTTTCCACATTTGTTGGACTTGATTATTGCAAATCTGAACATATTTTATCAATTTGGATAAATACTACCTATTCAAATAGGTACTACCTATTCAAATAGGTACTACCTATTCAAATAGGTACTACCTATTCAAATAGGTACTACCTATTCAAATAGGTACTTTTCTTTCCTGATGAAATTACTGTTTTCCACATTTGTTGGACTTGATTATTGCAAATCTGAACATATTTTATCAATTTGGATAAATACTACCTATTCAAATAGGTACTACCTATTCAAATAGGTACTACCTATTCAAATAGGTACTACCTATTCAAATAGGTACTTTTCTTTCCTGATGAAATTACTGTTTTCCACATTTGTTGGACTGGATTATTGCAAATTTGAACATTCTACCTATTTGAATAGGTAGTACCTATTTGAATAGGTAGTACCTATTTGAATAGGTAGTACCTATTTGAATAGGTAGTACCTATTTGAATAGGTAGTACCTATTCAAATAGGTACTTTTCAAAATATCCTTATGAAAACTTGTCTTCTACATTTGTTGGAATTTATTAATACAAATTTGTTAATATACCTATTTATTATCACCATGGGAATATTCATGGGCGAGAGTCGGGGCTACAGGAAAAAGGACTCCTATCTTGAGGTTATCTTGAGATGATTTCGGGGCTTTTTTTTTTTTTTTTAGTGTCCCCGCGGCCCGGTCCTCGACCAGGCCTCCACCCCCCAGGAAGCAGCCCGTGACAGCTGACTAACACCCAGGCACCTATTTTACTGCTAGGTAACAGGGTGAAAGAAACTCTGCCCAATGTTTCTCGCCGGCACCTGGGATCGAACCCAGGACCACAGGATCACAAGTCCAGCGTGCTGTCCACTCGGCCGACCAGCTCCCCCGACTCGCACACACCTGAAACCTAACTCCCAAGTTTACTGCATTACAATGCACGTGTTGCCACCAATGGCAGGTTTTTTTTTTTTTTTTTTTTTTTTTTTTTTTACGTCCTGAGTAGGTAGTGCCAAAAAACCAGCACAATGTTATGAAAAGCCCCTTTCTGATGGGTTTCTGGGACCCTCCCTTCTTTCAGGTGCTTTTGGTTTTCTTGGCTAAATGACAGGTGCAAGGCTTGAGGAGAATGGAGAGTACATAGTCCACCTGCACACCACAAAGGGACTAACGATAATAGTTTAATTTATTGAGTTCTGTTTTGAGACATGCCCTCATTTTCTATGCTTTTACTTTATGGATTTATGTTTAGGTTCTCCCACTTTTCTAGGGGTGTTTTCTTTGTAGGGCAATAAAGGATCCCCTGCTCCTTGCTTCTGTGAATGCATGTGTGTATGTATGCAAGTGTATAAAGTATATATGGAAGCTGATCAGAATTACATTTCACCTTTGTAAATGCACATTAATGACTATGTAGGGTATACGTAAATCTGTGTATCTATGTATTTACCTATATAGGTTAGCTTAGCATTTTAAAAGCACCGAATCACCTTCAGTGGTTGATTGTTCAATAAACCCCTGAACTATATGTTTAACACTTCTCTAACCCTGTCCATGGAGGACAGAAGAAAATGTATATATGCTGGTTAGCATTGTAAATGTGGCGCCACGTCTGTGGTAGGAAGGAAGGAAGGAAGGAAGGAAGGAAGGAAGGAGAGAGAGAGAGAGAGAGAGAGAGAGAGAGAGAGAGAGAGAGAGAGAGAGAGAGAGAGAGAGAGAGAGAGAGAGAGAGAGAGAGAGAGAGAGAGAGAGAGAGAGAGAGAGAGAGAGAGAGAGAGAGGAGAGAGAGAGAGAGAGAGAGAGAGAGAGAGAGAGAGAGAGAGAGAGAGAGAGAGAGAGAGAGAGAGAGAGAGAGAGAGAGAGAGAGAGAGAGAGAGAGAGAGGAGAGAAGAGAGAGGAGAGAAGAGAGAGGAGAGAAGAGAGAGGAGAGAAGAGAGAGGAGAGAAGAGAGAGGAGAGAGAGAGAGGAGAGAAGAGAGAGGAGAGAAGAGAGAGGAGAGAGAGGAGAGGAGAGAGAGGAGAGGAGGAGAGAGGGAGAGAGAGGGAGAGAGAGGGAGGAAGGGAGGGGGGTGTTTAGTCTCTGGCAGGCTTACAATAATTTGCAGGGGCCTACTGTGGACTGAATTGACAGAGCTCTGTAAATAGCAGCACTAAGGAGCTACCATAAGAGCCCCACTCAGAAAGATTACAGAGGGGCACCATAAGTGAATTATAATTGCTGATAACATAACCACTGCAACTACAATAACATTACACTAGCCATTTAAATAACACTGCAGAATTTTTCAATATTGAACATTACAGAGTAAAGATATCAAAAGAAGTCACCAACCCACAAATATATTATTACAAGGGTAAAATAAATACTTCTGTTTACTGGTACATGAAGTGAAACGGTTGCCTCTGATTTTAGAAGATGCACCTTACAATTTCATTACATGTACCAGGTATTTCTTTTACTAGTAGCACAATGTGGATCCTCATACAAGCGTTATTGATAAGTATCATTCACTTAATTAAAATTCGGTATCTAACACGCGTATCATTTTTTTCAGTCAAATTTTTCTTGGCAGAAATTGCGTACAATCATCATCTCATTGCCGACTGACTTCTTGCATCACTTCATGAGCAATGATGAACCAACAGTCACCAGCTGTTTCCTCGATGCCGCCGCCTGAAAAAAAAAATTATACTTAAAATAAAACATGTAGAACTATCCCCTACCTTGCCTATTAGTAGCGAGGTAAGGTATACAGTAGTTTATTATATGAGGAATATCATGAAAATTTAAGTTACTTTTTATGGGATATTCTGATGGTTTTATCTATATGGCTATAGTTTTATCTTCCATAGCATTAGATGCTATGGAAGACAAACATAACGCGGATGTAATTTACACAGATTTCGCAAAAGCTTTTGATAAATGTGACCATGGTGTTATTGCACATAAAATGTGTTCAAAAGGAATTACCGGAAAAATAGGCAGATGGATCTACAATTTCCTGACCAACAGAACCCAATGTGTAATAGTCAACAAAATAAAATCCAGCCCATCAACCGTGAAGAGCTCAGTCCCCCAGGGTACTGTGCTTGCTCCAGTACTTTTTCTCATCCTCATTTCGGACATAGACAAGAACACAACCTATAGCACTGTATCATCCTTTGCAGATGACACTAGGATCTTCATGAGAGTAGGCAACATAGAGGACACGGCAAACCTCCAGTCAGATGTAGATCAGGTCTTTCTATGGGCTACAGAAAATAATATGGTGTTTAACGAAGATAAGTTCCAGCTCATGCGCTATGGAAAAAATGAAAATATAAAAACGGAAACCACGTATAAAACTCAGGCAAATCATAACATAGAACGAAAAGGCAATGTAAAGGATCTGGGTGTACTCATGTCGGAAGACCTTACCTTTCTTTAAAGAACACAATAAAGTAGCCGTCACAACTGCAAGAAAAATGACAGGTTGGATAACAAGAACTTTTCACACTAGAGATGCTATACCGATGATGATACTTTTCAAAACGCTTGTGCTCTCTAGAGTAGAGTACTGCTGCACAATGACAGCACCTTTCAAAGCTGGAGAAATTGCTGACCTGGAGAGCGTGCAGAGATCCTTTACTGCTAGAATCCACTCAGTAAAACATCTAAACTATTGGGACCGACTAAAGAGCCTAAAACTGTACTCCCTTGAGCGCAGGTGGGAGAGGTACATAATAATTTACACGTGGAAAATATTAGAGGGGCTGGTCCCAAACCTGCACACAGAAATAACATCACATGAGACCAGAAGACATGGCAGGATGTGCAGAATACCCCCGTTGAAAAACAGAGGTGCAACTGGTACTCTGAGAGAGAACTCTATCAACATCAGAGGTCCGAGACTGTTCAACACGCTTCCACTACACATAAGGGGCATAACTGGCCGACCCCTCACAGTGTTCAAGAGAGAACTGGATAAGCACCTCCAAAGGATACCTGATCAACCAGGCTGTGACTCATACGTCAGGCTGCGAGCAGCCGCGTCCAACAGCCTGGTTGATCAGTCCGGCAACCAGGAGGCCTGGTCGACGACCGGGCCGCGGGGACGCTAAGCCCCGGAAGCACCTCAAGGTAACCTCAAGGTAAGGTAGGCTAATGTTATGAGAGAAAATATTTGGTGAAGTTAATACTGCCATTGACTAATTTATACACTGGGACGTTGGTCATAATTTCTAGAGCACCATAGATTTTCTATGAAGCCATCCCTATCTTGAAAACTTGGTAAATCAATTGCAGGTAGCTTAGCTTATGATGGACAGTTAGCAAGTGAAGCAGCTCTGGTTGTTGTCAGAGCATTTTGATTTGTAGGGCTGTTAACACTTTCGCGCTCTCGGCGCTCAAAAAAAAACAATACCCCAGATGCTTTTGGCACTTCGCGCGCCTACGCGGTAAGACCGAAAAAGTGTACACTCTTTTGATTGTCCTGACAATAATTGAAGGCGCACGTATTTAAATTTGGTATCACTGTGTTCGCAATGAAATTGTCTATAAGAGCATACCTATAAAATGCCGCCCAAGCATAAGGAGTATCAACACCAAATAAAAAACTATGCAGATCACTCGCCAAGAGCGCCAAACAGCAACAAAATGTTTCCACTCTCTTAATGGTTGCGAAGCCTACAGTTGTCCTACATCGCTAATTTTGGTATCATTGGAATCGCAATAAAATTCTCTACACGGACATATGCATATGAATGTTTAATATAGGTAATTGCCCACCCGCAAGAGTGTGTGAAGTGGAGAGTAGTTAGCCGCGAGCGCACTGGCGAAAACACAGGGGGGAAATCATGCTTGGAAAGTTTATACGTTTCCTGACCCTACTTTTCTATGTACGTATTTCTTTTTTATACCAATGTGTTCGCAATAAAATTTTCTATAAGATGAACTGTATAACATTTGTACAAAGCATGTGTAAGAGAAGCGCCAAATATAGAACCACGTCACTCAGTATGCGTTCGCGGCAGAAACGAACGCATTGTTTTTGTTCGTTTGATGTTTGTCATGTTTATACTTGTTGAAACATTTTATAATTTGTATGACAGTGATCGCAGTAAAATTCCCTACACAGACATATACATAACACATACAAATATTTCCCACGTGTTGGATATATCAACGGCTAAAGGGAACCCACTGCCACACGCTCGCCACACCCCCAAACATACTTTGTGTATTTTTTTTTTACTCATAGAAGTTTATGTGATATAATATTCATTCTGGTACCAAAACATTCGCAAATAAATTCTCTACAAAACAAAAGTATCCCCATCCATTTCGGTTAAAAAATGGAATTTATAGAAATATTTTTTCGATGGACGAGAAAAGTAGGCTGTTATGCGGAATCGTAAGAAAAAACAGCGACGAGTTATCTCTAATCTAAAGCGCGAAAGTGTTAATTAATATACAGAATGCAGATGTGGTATACACAGACCTTGCAAAGGCATTTGATAAATGTAACCATTGAGTGATAGCTCATTTTATGAGGTCAAAAGGAATAACAGGTAAAGTAGGGCAATGGATATTCAATTTTTTGTCAAACACGGGCTGAATCTTGTTATAACCAAGAGTCATCAATAAAGGTAAAGTTACTATAACCATTATAATAATGGTGCAGACTAGGATAGTGAAGTTAATGTTTTATTTTCTGTTTTTTGTTTTACTGTACAAGTTTAAAGATTAAACAATTCCTTAAACTTGGGAATATAGACAAGTAAATTTAAAGTACTGTAATATTTAGCCTCTCATTATGCGTTGGTAATATTTAATGGTATTAATTTATTTAGTAGCTTCATAACCTTGAGATTCTCATGAGAGGTGCACACCATCAGTGAATAAATTCTCAAAAAAAAAAAAAAAAAAAAAAAAAAAAAAGGGTTGAATGTAATGAAACACCATTTTCCGAGTGAAACCCGGAGCTATACCAGGCTGATGCATATGTATTAGACCGTGGCAACAGTCAATCGATGGAGTTCTAGAGCTACCAGGACCACGAGCTAGAACCTGGCCCCCTCAGAGAGGCACGAGGAGCAATGGCCTATAGACACCCCCATATGGTTGGAAGCAGTCTATGTCTGCCATTTACCAGGTCAGGCACCCAGAAAGGTAAGAATCCCCAAACTACAGCTGGTTAAAAATTGCAAACCAAAAGCCGAACAAGCAGGCAGAGCTCCCCAATCAAAAAACAAGCAAACAAGCATGATGTCACCATAGCTGCCGGGATGCTGTCCGTGCAGCTCCCCCTCCTCTTCCTGGGAGGAAAAAGGGGTAGCCCCAGACCTCCCATGTTGGCTACCCAACCCCAGTTCAGAGGCTCAGTATAAAAAATGCAAACAAACTCCTCAACTCGAAGTCGAGACAACTGGCTCCAACCTATGACCCAAGGCTACACAAGCCCGAGAAGGGCCCGGAATATTAACAAGGTACCGTGCGGCCAGGACCTGGTCTGGCCTTCAAAAACCCTGTGCCTGAATGTCAACCCAGGACATATCAGAAATAGCAGCCAAAGCTGCGAACTTACAAATGTCGTGGTCACGGGATAGACTGCAGGCTGGCTGGACCGAATAATCCTGCGGACAACCTGGGAGACCCGTGTCATGGAACAGGGAAGAAGTTAAACCAGGTCAACCCAAAGCACGTCCCCTGCCATGGAGGCTGTGGCACACAAGTAATGGCAAAGAGCCGCAACCGGACACAAAACATGATGCACCCCTGGCCAAACCAACCAAGCATCAACAACGCAAGGATCCCTCCTGAAAGTACCAGTCTCACTCTTCCTCAGAAAAGAAGGAGACGACTGCAAACGAACGACCACTAGGACCGAAAGAGCAGAAACCCGTGCTGAAGGAGAGCATGAAGCTCCCTGACCTGACACTCAGAGGTCAATAACACAAAGAAAAGAACCTTAGAAAAAGAGTCCTGAACCAAAGGGGCCACCACAAACCGAGGAAAAGAGAGCACCCGCTCCAACGACCAGGACGGCTCAGGCGGCACATGAGCAGGCTGGAGATAAAATAACGCCCGAGAAAGCTTGTGGAATGGAGCAGAAGTGACATCCTTCCCGAATGCATGCCGAGGCGGCTTGAATACGAGGCGACAGTATTCGACATAAGATGACAGTCCTGAAACATCCAAGAGAGAAATGACAAAACAACCCAATCAGAAATTGAAGACAACCAACGAAGAATCAAGAAGTGCCAAAAGGACCGGCAGGAAACTTCATACTGGCGTCGAGACGAAACTTGCAGGTGGGACACCATTAACAAAGTCACCTGGTCACCACAAATGGTGATAAACCCACATCAAAAAGACCAGATGTGAAGATCGGAAGAGAAGATCGAACCAGCCATGTACTAGACTGGACAGATCCACTGAAAGAGGTGGAGCTGCGGGAAGACCCTCGGGGTTCGGACACCGAGCAAGACTTCGGGCCAAAGGTGTCATTGACCCAACAGGCAGCATGGTGGAGGCAAAGACAGTGAATGTCACCCTGAGACAAGGACAGAGCAACCTTCAAACTCGTATGAAGCAAGGTGGGACTCATTGGTCCTATGGAGGACTCCTCCATTGGACCAATGAGCCCCAATGGGGGTTTCCAGGGTCCTTAACCCTCAAACCGCGCATATCAT